GGTACACCAGCTCCCGGAAGTCAATTTCTCAGGTGACGCATCCACCCGAGGGCCCGCCATCCCATCTTATTGGATTGAAGCCGTTGACTCTAAGAATTCAGACCGGGCGACGCTGGCTGCTGGCGGCCAAAACATGACACGCGGACGGGCACCCTGACGAGCTGGGCGCTCGCGGCCCGCCTCGGAGTTAGCGGAGCCGGGCTCCGCCGTTTTCTGGCGCGCTCGAGGCCGCAGCGAAAAAGGCGCGGACGGTGCCTCAAAGGCTCGGCGCCACTGGGCTTCCGGCGCTGCTGCGGCGCGGCGTCACGCCCGGCCGGCCAAGCGTACACCGCGCTCGGCCCTGCGCAGACGGGGTAACAGCAAGAAAAAACGCCAACCCAACAGCTTACCGCCCGCTGTGCGTGACGTTTTTTGTGTATTTGCGTTTGAGCACCAATGAGCGCTTGAGCTACTTGGAGCTAAACGGTCGAGGTCAGACCAACAGTTCACACCCTCATGCTCATTCCGTCAGAGACACTACAGCGCCTCGGAGGTTGTCCCTGCAAGGGCTGGGCCAGACGATCACGTCCTGCCCAGACTTCCCCTCGGGGGCATGGTGGGAGGGGGGGGGGGGGCGCCGCCACACAGCTGTCTCCGGGAGCTGCAGCACTCCGCCTAGCCAGCCCCAAACAACAGACCGAATTCTGCGTATCGATTGCGGCGCTTCACCAGTCCGCGCGCCAGACAGTGCTGGCGCCGGCGGGGCGGTCGCGGCCCGGGCCAGACCGCGTTCCAGGGGCGAGACCGGGGGGGGAGGGGGAGCGGAGTGGTGGGCTGCTCGCCTGACCCAGTTTGGCGGGGCGTCACGCCACCGCGACGGTCAGGGGAGGCGGCGGCGACGGGTGGCGCCGCCCCAAGCCGAGTCGGGCATCCCCAGTGTTTCCCACCGTCGGGGGCCACATCACCGTCGCCTGGCGGCCGCCTGGCCGCAGCCAGACGCAGGCAGAGGGGGGTGCGGGCGGCAGAGCGAGGAGGGGGGGGGGCGGGGGCGCCGCCGCCGAGCCTGGCGTGACGCCTGCAGGTACCGAGCGCACGCCGCCGCGTGCCCAGCCGACAATTACACATGGCTGCAAGCGGGCCGCTCCGCGCACGGCTCAGCGTGAGCAGCCCGCGACAGCTGCCGAGAACAGACGACGGCGGTCGGCGGGGCCCGTCGGTGAACAGGTGCGCGGCTGGCTGTGCTCCGCGCTCTCCCGCCGGCCCCCGCACCGGACAGGTGTGTGTGTGGGGGGGCGGCGGCCGGCTCGTCCCTCAGAGCGGCGGCGCCCCGCGCAAAAACGGCCCGCCCGGCCGGCTCCTCCCATTGAGACGCCACTCCGGCGGCGGACACGCGCCGCGGCGCCGCTCTGTGGCATGAGGCGAGCCGACCGCCGGGCGCGGGCGGCACGGCGGTCCCGCCCGTCTGCGGACCTGCACGGAGCCGGGCCCCGGGCGGCACGGGAGTCGGGCTCCGAGACAGTGATCAGCCGGACCCGGAGACGGCGCCGAGTCTGGAGTATGGAGTCTGGGACCACCATGGGACCAGACGGGACCACCAGTCCCAGACGGCGTCGGAGGCTGATCTAAAGGCAGGCCGAGACAAAACACTTTTTATATCTTTTTTTTTTAAAGAGATATTTCAGGAGGGTAAACCCCAGGGGACGGAAAACCGTATATGACAGCATTGATGTATGACCAAAAACAACACGTACAGGCACAGGTGGTCAACGACTTCCCGGTGATAGGGGCTGTGAACCACTTAAATGACTGTGAAGGTGAGCGCACAATGGTGTGATTTGCAGTTTGTAAACTACGCAGTTATTAAGCATTTAAGCATGTGCGTGCAGCTCTACCCATCAATGAAGGACCCTTAACATATGCAGCAATGCGTCGGAACGCTCCAATCTGCTTAAGCCATTCACTGCTTCCTAATTAGGCAGCGCATCTGTGTTCAACCGTAATCTTCGTCAGGGCCAGAAGAGATCAGCCTTTAGCGCACCGCATGAATCCGAGGTAGGTACACGTGCGAGTTACGCAGACTGTGTCAGGCCCGGCAGCGGGCCACCCGAGGACGGAAAGAACCCAGCTCCGCCCTCACTGGATGCCTGGCTCCTTGTTTCCACCCGGGATGTTCGTCCGCCCGCCTGCAGCGCTAGGGGCCTCCCGAGGCGCCGGGAAAAGGATCGATACACCTTACAGTCTGCAGTACACCAGGACTGCTAGCCCCTGAAGCACGCTGTCCTTCAAACGCCGCGGCAGACGTCGGCGGCTGCAATACACGCGCGGATGACGCCCAGGTCCAACAAGTCTACGGCGCCGGTCACGATCGCTCCAAAAAAACCGCACTCAAAAGCCGTCTTGGTCTGCGCCCAGCTCACAGGTGCGGCTTCTGCCACGCCCAGCGGCGGCTGACGTACCCGGCCAGGTGGCGGACCGCGGCGCCACGCGGCCGGCATCTGGTGTCGGCCGCCGGCGCCCCGGAGGACACGCCGGCGGCGGCCAGGAAGCGGCGCGGGGGTCCCTGCTCCCGGCGGTCGGCGTCGCCGCCACCACTTTCGCCGCCCTCAAGGTCAGGCCGCGCGCGGCGTCCCCGGTTGCGGAACGCTCCGAAATAACCAGCGCCGCCGCCGCGCTGCCGACAGCGTTTCCCACGGCGCCGTTCGGCCCGCGCGTGGCCACGTCGGGACGCGCTAGAGAGGCGGCCGTCGCGGTCAATACGGGCGCCCGGGCCGGACGAGGGCAACGTCTCCCGTGACATTTCACGAGCGCAGGCCGGCGGCGGGCCGGGAACACGGCGCGCGCGGGCGCGCCGGCCGGCCGCCATCTCCCCGGAAACGGCAGCGCGCGCCCCCCGGAAAATGGCGGGAGTCCCCCCACGTGCCCCGTTTGAAATTGTACAGCCGACCAGCGGGTCCGCCGGCGCCATTCTCCGCTGTAATGACCGCCGCCCCGGAGCGGCGGCTGCCACCGGGGCCGGCTGAATGCCCGTAGTGATCCAGATACTGTGCGACCGAACGGGCCGGCGTGGTGGCGATGCCCGTTGCCGTGGCAACCCACATCGCCCCGCCGGATCACCTGCAGAGCAGCCCTGCATGCAGCGTCCTGTTGGTGCCAAACGCAGGGCTGTTGGCACGTACGGTCGCGAGCGGCAGGCTCGCCGGACTCAGGCAGGAGGGGGCGTGCCCACCGGTACTCTGTGAGCTGCTCCGAAAATCCCACAAGCTGCGCCGGAATGCCTCCCTCGTCAGGAGACGATCGTCACCGGCACCGGTCAGCCATCTCCACCAGGAGACGATCATCACCGGCACCGGTCAGCCATCCACACCAGGAGACGATCGTCACCGGCACCGGTCAGCCATCCACACCAGGAGACGATCATCACCGGCGCCGGTCAGCCATCCACACCAGGAGACGATCGTCACCGGCACCGGTCAGCCATCCACACCAGGAGACGATCGTCACCGGCACCGGTCAGCCACCCCCACCAGGAGACGATCGTCACCGGCACCGGTCAGCCATCCACACCAGGAGACGATCGTCACCGGCACCGGTCAGCCATCAACACCAGGAGACGATCATCACCGGCGCCGGTCAGCCATCCACACCAGGAGGACGATCGTCACAGGCGCCGGTCAGCCATCCACACCAGGAGACGATCGTCACCGGCAACCGGTCAGCCATCCACACCAGGAGACGATCATCACCGCACCCGGTCAGCCATCCCCACCAGGAGACGATCATTCACCGGCGCCGGTCAGCCATCCCACCAGGAGACGATCATCACCGGCACCGGTCAGCCATCCACACCAGGAGACGATCATCACCGGCGCCGGTCAGCCATCCACACCAGGAGACGATCGTCACCGGCACGGTCAGCCATCCCCCACCAGGAGGACGATCATCACCGGCACCGGTCAGCCATCCCACCAGGAGACGATCATCACCGGCACCGGTCAGCCATCCCCACCAGGAGACGATCATTCACCGGCGCCGGTCAGCCATCCCACCAGGAGACGATCGTCACCGGGCACCGGTCAGCCATCCCCACCAGATGACCATCACCGGCACCGGTCAGCCATCCCCACCAGGAGACGATCATCACCGGCACCGTTCAGCCATCCCACCAGGAGACGATCATCACCGGCACCGGTCAGCCATCCACACCAGGAGACGATCGTCACCGGCGCCGGTCAGCCATCCCACCAAATGACCATCACCGGCACCGGTCAGCCATCCCAGGACTGGACAGGGGATCCCAGGACTGGACAGGGCATCCCAGGACCGGACAGGATGTCTCTGGATGGACCGACGTGGATCGATAACGTCATACAGCCGCGCAGCCACATGTGGAGACCGCGGCGGCCGCACGTGCGTGGGCTACACGTGTGTGCGTGCGTAGTCACAGGTGTGCGCGTGCGCAAGACCCGTGAGCGCGTGCGCATGTCACACGTGTATACATGGGCACGGAACGCGCGTACGAATTCTACCCGTGTGCAAGTGAACAGCACGCACGTGCTGGGCACACGCGTGGTGTCTGGGCGGGCAGACGAGGGTCCTTCAGCGCCAAATTTGGCACTTCATGAGCGCGAGAGATTCTCACCGGCAAGGACGGGAACCAGATGTTTACCAGAGATCAACCTCGCACTGATCGCGCTTGTTAACCTTCCTTGATTGCCGACAATTCGCCAACTATTTCAGAAAAGATCCAAGCCCACGACACGGACAAAAGCCGCGAGCCGCTGTCGCCCCTCTCCCTCGCGGACGCCAGTTCCAGGTCTCCTCCCGCGCGGACCCAGCACTGGGGACGCCGAGGTGCCCGGCTGCTGCGGCCGGCGGGCAGCTCCCGAGGTGATCCCAGCCGCCATGTGTGCATTGTGTGGGCTGGCGGGCGGGAGGGGCGATCGCAGAGGGACGCGGCCATGAATACAGATGCGCCGCGCTCCTGCATGCAGCATCTCCGGAGCCGGCGGCGCCAGACCCACCTGTTGCCAGCGCTCCTCCAGCGAGCAGGAGGAGAGGAAGCAGCCCTTGTCTAGGACCAGCTTCAGCTCCTGGAAGATGTTGCCGCTCGGGTACACATCCATGGCGACGCGCAGCCGAACCCAGCGAGGTGCTCCGGCGGGCGGGGTCACAGCATTCCACGCACGCGCCCTCAGATGTCAGGTCACAACATCCAACACCGGCGCTCTCTGACGTCAGGTCAACAACATCCAACACGGGAGCTCCCGGGCGTCAGGTCACAACGTGCCACACTGGCGCTTCGCGAGGACGGGCCAGAACACCTCGCCCGACGCGGTCGGGTCTCTGATCACAGCATTCCACAGAAGCGTTCCGACAGCACCTCACGCGCACCATTCCACGCTGCAGCCCGCTGTCGGGTTTCGGACCCACAACTCCCCTCCGGCGCGTAACAACTCAAATGCCGCCGCGGCAGTGCCGTCCGGCTCCAAGCGGGGCTCACGTGCACTGCCGGCGGCGACCAATCGACCGTCATGACGTCATGTTCCGCGCCGTCTCTCCGCCAAGCTCGGCGCGCAGCTGCGCTACGTCATGCCCGGTACGGGCGGGCCGTCACAACGTTGCCTTATATGGTACAGGTCTGGCGCGGCTGCGGGACTAGGGCGCAGCTGGGTCTGTTGTTGTGTCGCGCCGGGGTCGGGGCGGGAGTCCGGTCAGGTCGGGACGGGCGCTGCGCCGCGTCAGGCAGGGGGTCACACAAGTGGCGCGGGTCTCAAACCACCTGTCACGGGGCTGCTGCGATGGCCGGAATGTCGCGTGCGATGACCAGTTCACATTCAGCTCCGAAGCTGATTGGCCGCTGACCTCGCATCCTCCGCCGGCCATTGCACGGCGTCGCTTCGGCATCGCAGCAACGCGCAGCAGGCGGTTTGCAACAAACGCGCGTTGTAAACTCAGATCAGGACGAGCAGCCTCACGAACACCGTGACACCGTCGTCGCCGCCGGCAAGGTGAGCGGCAGGCGCCGGCTCGGTCGGCGCCTAGCCGCCCGCCGCCCGCCGCCAAAACAACCGGAGCGCGGCGGGAGGTGCGGCCCGCGCTCCTGCCGGGCAGCCGCCGACTGACCTCCGTCGACCCGCGCTTCCTCAAAGATCCTTGTGCTGAGCGCTGCTGTAGACCTGGCACGGGGAAGAGCCACAGGGCCGGTCACAGGTTTTGCAGGGAGGGTCGTCACCCACTTTCGGTGGACCACAGCCACAACAATTTTACATTTTTTTAGGATGGTTCGCTGATGGCTCACGGAAATATCAGTCTGAAGGAGGCCAACATGTTGCGTCCAAGACTACTGCCCGAAACCATTTTGGGTGAAGTGCGCCAGCCTGTACGGCTAACATTCATTGGCGTCGAGAAGTTTGCCCGGTGGTGATGCCATCCTCTGACATCTCTTTTTTCTTCTTCCCCACCGCAAAGCTCGCCTGCACGCACCGGCTCTCAAAAAGAGCCGGTACCCGTGCCCAGAGCGGGCGCGCACGATCCGCCGCACAGTTGGCAGCGCTCTCCCGGCCGGCACTAAACCGAGACGGCGAGCGATGAACCGTACTCGGCGTTGCTGCCGCCGGCGACGGTCATCCGTCTTCGGGGCGGCGGCGAGCGTCGGATGAAAATAATCAGCGCCCCGTGATTTACGAGCGCGCGGGTCATGTCCGGAGTCCCGAGCCGGCCTGCTGAATCATGCCTTGCCGGCTGGGCGGACGTCGGCCCCGGTCGGCGAGACGGGGCTGTCTCGAGAGGGGGGGGGGGCACCAGACACGCCGCCCCAGCCCCCGGGCGGTGTCGCGCACCGGCGTCGACGCCCGTCGTCGCGTGGCGCGGCTGGGTCTGTTGTCGTACATTCCGGCCGCTGGTGAAAATGCCGCCACGCACGTGGGGAGAGTTGCGCCGATGTCAGCGGAAGTGGCGGCGCGGCGATGCTGGCCGAAACACGGCGAACCGCGCCGTGGTTACATAACGCCGAGCACGGCAGGGTTTTGGTGGTCTTCGGAGCTGCACCGCGGTCACGAGGGCAACGACTGGCGGATCGTGAGTTCGTGGCGCGGAGGAAGGCAACGGCTGTCGTGGAAAACACCGCCGACGGACTGAACAGCCAGCGGGCGGTGGGCGATCCGTGGGGGACAGTCGGGACGGGGTGGAGGAGCAGGCGGTGCGGCGCCACGCGCTGTCAGCTGTGAGAAACTCCGGTGCAAGACCTTGCAGCCTCCCAGCAAAGCGTCGTGGTCACTGCGGCAAAGCTCAACCTGTCAGGGAAGTCGAAATCCGGCGTGGAATGTCAGTTATGCCGACGGCTCCAGGCTGGATTCCATCGCCGGCGTGGTAAGTCACAACAGAGCGGTGATTCTGGAAGATGATTGAGTTCAGAGAACGGAGCAACGGTGCTCAGTGCCAGCTGCCCAGCCCGGCGATGTAAAGTGATGGGAATCAAGAAATGACTGGCCGGGCCTGTAAAAGGACCCGGGTTGCAGGCGTTACCACACGGCTGCACGATTTGGCGTCCAATCCGCCGATCAGCAGCCAGGCTGGCGGGCCGACGGCTGGCAGCCGGTCGGCGCCCGTCTCTGCAGCCCCAGACAGGTCGCGCCTTTGATTTTGCCAAGTCCGGAAACGCCGAGCGCACCGATCTTGCCCCCTGCACCGCGCGGATTCCCGCGAACTGCAGCGGCACAGGAGCGCGCGCCCGGCGCATCGCCGGAATCGCGCGGCGCTTACACGAGCACGCTCGCGCCGCGCGTCACCGGCGGGGGCCACCGGCGGGGGACAACGGCGGGCGCCACCGACGGGGGCCACCGGCGAGCGCCACCGGCGGGGGCCACCGGCGAGCGCCACCGGTCCGAGCGCACCGAGCACGAAGCGCCACCGGACAGTCACCGCCGCTCCTGCAGGCCCCACGCCGCGCCGGACACGCCGACAGGGACATCTCTGATCGCGGTTTTCGCGCGGCGCGGGGCGTGGAAGAGGCCGCCTTGTGAAAAAGCGCCGAGGAGCACTGCAAAGTCCTAACCAGACCCTACCAAGCACCGTCGTAGTGTTGCCGCAACCAGAGCCGATCGATAGCCTCACTTTACGAAAACAGTAATTACGTTTGAACGGGTCATTAGGTTGGGCGTTATTCGTTTATCGGTTCATAAAGCCTCCCTAGCGATCGTTCGCGACCGACCCAACATTAATCGTCTGCATCCCATTGACTCTCACGTGACAGGCATTAGCTGGCTCCCGATGGTCTCCGATCTAGTCCTCAGAAAGTCATCGATGCTGTTTGTTTGGCAAGGCGACGCGTGAAGAATGGAGGTGATCTGCAGTGAAAGGGAGCACTACTATAGTCATCTAGCGTCGAAATATTGAACTAAGACTACGTTTCCTTAGCACATCTCGCGTTTTCCATTTGTGAAGCGCACGGGCCTCTGTGACCCCTGATGATGGCTGGAGATCGCTCTCCGAAAGTATGTGTATGGAAGGGGATCCAGGGCCCATTGCCCCAAGCCATTGGGGCCCATTTTAGCGTGGAACAGGCCACCCTTCCCGATTCAGAATACCTTGGCCCTAGACCAACTTATTTCGAAAGAGAGAAACATAACGATAACGATCATATTTTTACATATTTGATAACGATCTGATTTTTTCTTTTTAAGATGCTATCTAATGCATCTACATGGCTGGATTTTTGGAATCACAGCTCACGCTGAGCAGTGTTTGTTGTGTGAGCCCCAGCCCCTTCCATCCGATCGCGCTTATCCAGTCCAACAGCAGATTAAGTGGCGAAAGTTTTGTTAAGTATTTCACTCGCTGCGGTGCAGGATTCGCATGCCGCTCGCGAACGGCATTGTGCGCACAGGCGGAAAGGGGCGCGGCTGCTGTCCGTCGTGTATGGCGCGGGCCCGGCTGCACCCGACACCTCGGGGTGGTTGGTTCGGAGACCTGTCGCCAGGCGGCCGTCACCCGGGCTTTCGGCTACGCCTGCACTGGAGCCGCGGCCGGCCGCTAGGTGGCGGAGGCAGCCGCACCAGGCATTCTAGGTAGCGCAGCCGAGTGCCGCACACTCGCGAGGAAGCGAACGTGTCCTCCAACGGACCAGGGCGCGTGCGATGTGGAGCACGGGGAATGACCTCGGGGGTACTTCGTACCGTGGCCTCTGTGGGATTGGTTCCTGGGGATGGGCCGAAGGTGGGACTCTGCGGCCTTTCTGGGTGGGCTTCCATCTATTGTTTCCACGACTGCACATCGCATCCTGTTTAGTATTCATAACACGGGAGCAGGAGTATTCATCGGCGCAGGAGGCCCGCTGGCTGGCATTCGAGCGCCCTGTCCACGAAGGGCCCGCCCCACAGAGGCTCACGTTTTTAAATGCGTCCAATGGTCAACCCTTAGAACCCCTACGAGCGGGCACCAATACGGCCCCTGACGACACTGGGGAACGCCTTTTCCCAGTGCCACCGCGTGTGGGCCCTATGGGCCCACGCGCTGTCGGAGGGGCCTTTGGTCGGTAAGAAGGTCTCGAGCGGCCAAAAAGACCTGAAGAGCTAATAAGACCCCAAGTGTCCAGAGGGCCGCGGTGATTCAGCTAAATGTTTCAGGCTTCAGGCGACTAGACAGGCCGCTGCACGGCCAGCGGATCGTCAATAGCCGTATGAGCATTGACGTCACTTCTCCACTCACTTACGTGACCTGAATGAGCTCTGAATAACTAAAGGCGGCCATTGGTGGCCGGTGTTACCCTGGGCGGCCGGTGCCCTGGCGACCGGTGCAGCCCACAGAGTGAAAGAAACACCACCGGCTGGGGAGATCCCATGACCAAAGGGGTCCTCAGCGGCCAGAAGGACCTGAACAACTAAAACGGCCTATGACTGGCCTGATGTGCCCTAGATGCACAGGGCCGCTGGCGGTCAGTAGACCCTGAGGGGTCAGAGCCCTGGTAGTCCCGGGGTCCCTTGGTGTTCTGGTGAGACGTTGGAAGTCCAGATGGCCCTAGGAAGCTGTAAAGGCGCTTAAATTACCAGCAGCCCGGGTGGGCAGAAAGGGCCCACCGAACTGCTCGAAAAGAGCCGGGGCTTCCAACTGGACCCACCGCGCATCACGGGGAGGCGATTTGTTACGTCGACGCT